TATTCTTCTTTTGGACTTTTCAAGCCTCACTTCAAGGTTTGAGAAAGTGTGATAGAAAGAAATCAAATTCGCCTGTTTGGCGAGTATTTATTTATTTATTTTTTTAACCTCGGTGTACTTATTTTTCAAATTTTTTAAAAAAATTCGTAATATATTTAATATTTTATTTTTCAAGAACTATTCGATCTGTTTCACCCAAAATTTTCCATTCTACCATGCAAAATTTCGTTCTATAGAAATCTTTACACCATTTTTGATGTAAAAAATTTATAAATCTTACAATTCAAAAAATTTTCGGCGATTATTAAATAAAATAAATTAAAAACTATAAATATTTAAGGAAAGTTATTTTTTGCATGAAATTATCTTTGAATAAACTGAACAAAAAATTGTCAATTTGCTTAAAAAGTGTTTGAGGTATGGCGAAATACGCTAAAAGTAAAACTAACATTAAGGGGTCTAAACTTTGGACAGCTCTTCAGACCAAACTATTGGGACTACATTTCCTAAATATCGACTATCCCCTATATTTTGGGGGCTCAGAAATCTGAATTCGTCGGAAATAAAGGTAGATTTATTCAGAGAAAGTGCGTTTTTGTGTCTGAATTCATTACTTAGGATATCGTATTTTGGTATTTAAATGTACTGCTATTTTTCTGTTTTGATTTTTATTGTTTTCTAAATTAAGATTTTAAAACTAAGATAATTGCGTTTTTTATTTATTTATTATTATAGCGTCATTTTACACCACGTTTTAAAATAAAGTTATTTAAATTGGTGCCTAATTTTATTAACCTTTTCTCAAATATTATCTTTTCAGTAAATTACATTAAAATACCATTGTAAACTTACAGTTTAAGATATTCGTTAAATGATTTAAAACTTAACGTATTTAATACATGCATAATAACGTATTTAATATAACATATGTAATAACGTCTTTAATATGTTAATCTATGTATTTCATATATCCGTCAGTCTGGTAAGCGAAAATTCTAAATTACGGTTGCGAACTCACCAAATTTGTTATTAAAATATATTTTCAATTTATAAATGCAATTTTAAAAAGTTACTTATGTTCACTGATAGATTTTAATAAAATCACAAGAGAAATAATTGGACATGGGAAGTAGAGGACTTCCCACTAGAGGAGAAAATAGAGGACGTAATCAAACAGAATTTTCTTCAGTACATATATATTTAGGAAATAATTTCAACTTTCGCGGAAAAAACTGTTTTATACCAAGAAAGCAATAATCGGGATTGGTAAGATGCAGCGAATAGGTGGCTTAGCCCCCTAGTATTTTAATATTAGACAAAACATCGTAACAATTTGTGCAAGGTTTGAAGTTTCACCACCCTTTAGGAGCTGTGGTGGTCCGTGATATCTATCTATCTATCTATCTATCTATCTATCTATCTATCTATCTATCTATCTNTTATTAACTGTTAACTCTGCAAAAAATAGCCAATAGAAAAATAGGTAATCGTAAATTTTCATGGCTAGCTTTGTTTTTAAAAGAAATTTTCGTTTGTCGCAAGATATTTGTTCGCATAAGAACGCGTACCCCAGCTAAACTGTTCCCGTACCCCTGGGAGTACGCGTACCACACTTTGCCAAACACTGGGATAGAGCATTTGTGTCCCAATGAGGTGGAGTGGGTTCGAATTCCAACGGCGGCTGGACGATACGAATCAGCAACCGCCTCGCACCGCCCACTCTGCTGGCGTAAAATGTCCTTAGTGGTAGACTGATGATGCGTTTCTTTGCTGACAGATTAACCGTGGGAGATTTTCGTGGTTTTCCACTCCGTGTAACGCCAATACAGGTTAGTTCCATCAAAAAGTTCAACACGAAGGCAAAGTTTTTCCCAATACTTGATCCTGGAGTTCCCTTGTCAAAATTACAAGGCTTGGAGTGGGTTCAAAATTACAGGGCTACTGATTTGGACTTTGGGTCGGCTGTTCTACGACGGTTATAAATTAAATAAAATGACCCTTTAATTGCAGTCAATTCAGTACTTTGAATCAGCAGTTCCTTACTACGACTCGTTTTAACCGTTAATTCCTTCGACGAAAATGGTAAACTACTATTCAACTGTAAAAAACTTTTACTGTACTTGTTTACAAACATTTACTAAAAGTTCCCTGGGTTAAATGAAAATTCGGTGATTTGCGACTTACTCGACCAGCTGACACTACGACCTTGGTCATAGCACAAGTAGGTCTTTATCACAGCACAAACAAAATTATAATACTTATGATTTTTCGTTCCTGTTTTGCTTTATGAACATTTTTTAAAAAATACATTCGTTAATACACTGGTTGTAGCGTTTTACAAAAAATTAAAAAGTGGTAGCCGAGCTATATAAAACTGACAAGATTCAGTTTTGAAGTTTCCCTGTAATTTAAAAATATCTACAGTTATCAGTTTTAAAACTTAATATTATTATTATTCAAATTAAGATGCAGTAGCATCCTCCTCATTTCACCCAAAAACAAACAATAACTGTCATAATTATCTTACCACTATTTTACTTTTAATAGAATGCTTCGAGTTGTGTTTTCACAGTCAAATTATTATTGTCCTTAAAAATTTCTCTTGAACTGTTTTAATAACATGATCGAACAAATACTAGTTTCTTGCAATAAATATTTTCCAAGCTAGGCTCCTTCAAAATGTCTAATGACCCCTTTTTATAACATGGCCGTAAAATAATAAAAAAAAAATGTCAATATGTTTATTGTAGCAATAATTATTTTTTTAGCTACTATTGACCAGGAAAATGTATAATGAATTATTTTTATTTCATGATCAACAAGTTATAAAATGTTTTTTGTGCAATAATTATTTGACTTAATTTTGTGTAATAATTTTTTGCAATAATTATTTAATGTCAAGTGAACTCTTTAAACATGATCATTAAATTACAATAAATATTTTCCTAGTTATTATTTCGCCTTGAAATTATCTAACGAAATCTTTTTATAGTGTAGTCAAAAAATAATCAAAATTTCCAACATGTTTTTTTTGTTGCAATATATATTTTAATGATCCTTGAAAATGTATAATGAATTCTTTTTGTAATATGGTAATAAAATAATCAAAAAATTTCAAAATGTTTTGTGGCAATTATTATTTTTCTAGTTATATACTTTAGCTAATGAAAAGAAGAAAAGTGAAATTTTCTGAATCATCGAACTGCAAAATAATAACACTTATTTACTTGTTAGAAATTATTATTTGTGTAGGTTTCATTTACTTTTTTTATTGCTTTTTTTCATTTCAACATGGTTTAAGTATTTAAGCAAGGAAAAAAAATATTTTAAAAGTCTTTGCACAATAATGATACTTAACCAAACAAAAAAAAGTTGTTCCATTTGCGAAGTAGAATTGCTCGAATTAAAGCAATAAAAAAGAAACACTATGTGATCCATTCAAAATGAATTGAACAAAACGACGAATGCCGAAAATATTTTTCGTTTTGTTATTTTAATTCCTTTATTTTACAATTACGTATTTCAACCGGTTTTTCATTGTGTTTAAAATCCTTTCCCGGTTCAATAAATTCTGTTCTTACAATTAAATTTAAAAAAATGTGGAAATAATGAAACTTTAATACAAAAATGCTATTGAATTGTCTTTTCAATGATTGAAATTCGAGTTATTTACAACGACGTTTTATTAAAAAATTTTAAGATTTGTATTTAAAAATATTTTTAATACTAAAATACATATTTTAAAATTTGTTAAAAGCAGCATTTCTCTTTAAATGTAAAATAGAGGCATGAGTGCTAAATTTTAACTTTTATTTCTTTTGTCATCGAAAAATCTTTTTAAAAAAAATTGTGTCAAGTAATTTTTTCAATGAATTATCCGCTTTACAATAAAAATTTGAAAGAATCGAAAAATGGTTGGTAAATTTAGTGAATTGGAGCAATTTAACGTCTTTATCATTCACAGAAAATATAACTCGATGTAAAAACTGAAAACTTAAATCCTAAAATTAAAGTGAATTTAAAAATTATAAAATTTTGATCATTCTAGGGATAAAAACGTTTCAATTCTTGTTCTCGTTAGGACTAAATGTTCGGGCTTATAACTGGTAGTAAAGCCATTTAATTTCTAGCTTCTTTTCGGTAGGACTAAATGTCCGTGCTTAAAACTGGTAGTAAAATCATTTCATTTTTAGCTTGTTTTCTCAAGGACAAAATATCCTTGATTGAAATTGGTTGCGAAACCATTTCATTTCTAGCATTTTTTTTCATTAGGACTAACAGTCTGTGCTTAAAACTGGTAGCAAAACCATTTAATTTTTAGCTTCTCTTCGGTAGGATTAAATGTCCGTGCTTAAAACTGGTCGCAAAACCATTTCATTTCCAGCTTGTTTTCTCTATGACAAAATATTCTTGATTGAAACTGGTTGCGAAACCATTTTATTTCTAGCATTTCTTTTCGTTAGGACTAAAAGTCTGTGCTTAAAACTGGTAGTAAAACCATTTCATTTCTAGCTCCTTTAAGCTAGGACTATATATCAGTGCTTGCAAATTCAGATAAACGGTTATTTTCCATCAAATAAATACGATATAACTTTTTATGAGTGTTAGTTCCCCAGGTTTCATGTATTTCTCCAGAAATCGATCTAGATTAAAAACGATTTTACAACCAGGTTTTTCTCTTTTCTGGAGAACAAACAGCTTTTGTCACCGCAACAGTTACACTCTTAACCGCTTTTATGACTATTCTAACTTATCTTTGGTTCGCATATTTTTATAAAGTAATTACTATCCCGAGAACTGTTGAAATCAATTGTTGATGTCCGTACTTATCCACCATTTCCTGATACAATAAAAATGGCAATACTCGTACCACTGCAATGAAACTATTTTGGCAAATAGTAGCTTCATGTTTATGAACCTTGGGCAACATTTTTATAGTTATTTTATGCTTTCTTTATTGCAAATATGTAGCTAATAGCTATATTCTTTTTCCTTTCTAGGTCCTGGAAGTGGGTTGTCCACCTACACTCCCAGTGTCTTGAGAACCATGGACAATTTCGAACCTGGCATGTTCCGGCAACCACCTGCTCCTATTCTTCCAGAAAAGGAAGAAGAGAATAAAAAAGAAGCGGAAGAAGAAGAAGAGAATACGAATATCAGAACGGAAGAAGATCCGGAAATGCTGAAACCAGCAGATCCTGATATCATCTCCTCTTGGTCCCTTTCCGCAGGAACGTCGGATCTGCTTTTCTGACAATTGGCCCCCGCCGACTAACGTGAACGGTAAGCATCAAGCATTACTGACTTTTAATATCACAATATAGTAAACTCTACAAATTGACTTTTCTTTTAATATAGCAGCGATTTAGATATTTTTCAAACCATATATTGCAAATTAAGTGGGCTTTTAGTATTGCAAGAAGAATGTTAAAAAAAAGTTTCCCATTCGGATATAATGGCCGTAGTATACTGTTCAAATTCATTGAGCTTTTAATATTGCAACGATTTAGAAAGTGCCCCATTCAAAGATAATGACCGTACTGTGTACAAACTAATAAGGCTTTCAATATTGCAACCATGCAAAAACTGTTCAATTCAAAGATAATGGTGATAATGGTCAAATTTGTGCTGTCTCTGAGAAAGATTTTACAAAATATAGCACTAAAATAATTATCAAAGAAATAATTTTTTTTTCTTTTTAAATTAAGCAATTTCGTCACACACTTATAAGCATAGCTGTCAAACAAATCGGTGTTACTTAAATAAATATTTTTGAATTATTAATTTATTGGAAAAATAATATTTTTTTATGAAATTTAAAAACTAAGATTAAAAATATCTTTGAACAAATTTCTATTAAGGTTATAAACATTAAAAAACAAATGTTGCTAAAAATTAATATTTTTAAAAACTAGTTTCCTCAACGACTATAAAAATTGGCAGCAGTTTTCGAATTCGTAACAAACTTTCATCGTACTGTTAATCCGGTATTTCTCAACTTTTTTGGTCCTGCGACCCCCTAAAAAGGTGTTTAAAAAAGAATACTTCATGAATCTTCTGCCCTAATCTGTTTACATAAAATAACGAGAAATGTTTCAAAGGAAAAATATAAGAACTATTATTCATTATTAATTTACAAATCTCATGCTTCAGATTAAGGCTTACTCGTCAAAGTGAATACAGAGGTTTGGTCACTGAAGCCTTAAAAATAATAATTCCTTTCGCGACATTCTTATCTTTGTTTTTCATCAATCTTGATGTCGAAAAATAAATACATGAATCATCTGTTACAGCTAGAAAACAATTCGTTTTTATCTGTTTGAAACTTAGAGCCACTTAAGGGAAAACAAACGCAACCATCCTATTAATTATGTAATCAACAAAGTAAAATGGAATGAGTAAAATAATACGAGAATATGTTTTTGCTTTTAGTTAAATGAAGGGAAAGCACTACAATGCTATTTGTAATTTAGAGATACCTCTGATTGGACCCCAAAGTAAAGTTGCGTTAATCGCATTATTTTTAGTTTTCTAAGAAAAAGTTTTAAGATTTTCTGAGGAAGTTTCGATGGTTTTCGGTCTATAAAATGCTGAAATATCTCACAAAATATTATGAAAAAGAATGTTGACAAAAGTAGTATCTGGTGATACTGGAGAATCATGAATACAAAAGAGATTGACTTGTTCAAGACCGTGATCACAAATACGTGATCAAGCGATTTCCGGCAAACGGTATCACGTATGAAAACAACCTTTCTGACTCCAGTGGCCCAAGATCGCACGAACATGATCTCAATTCGGAACTCTTTAATACGTATATTCACGGTGCTTGCGGGCCTGGGGATAGGCTTCTTGCATCTTTCCATGATTTTAAAAAGGTTAAAGAATCGGGAGATTTATCAGAACAAAAAGATAAAGAAATTTAAGAATTTCAGAAAAACGTAAAATCGAACAAATAAGCAAAGTTATGGATATTGATTGAAGCAATTGCATGGTATGACCCGCGATGGCTCATTGGTTAAGCTGGACAGTCAATATGAATGATTTTTATTTTATATTATAACAAGCGTTGAACAGCCAACCAAATTCTGGGCTTATGACTATCAATGTTCAACTCCGTAGCCTTGAATTTTGAACACAATTCAGGAGAAGGGAACTCATGGATCAAGTATTGGGACAAACTAGCCTTCGCGGTGAACTTTTTGATGTAACTAACCCGCATTTGCGTTACACGGAGTGGAAAACAACGAAAACTTTCCATAGTTAGACGGTAAGGGGATTCTAATCCATCACTCGTCTACCACTGAGGATATTTTACGTCAGCACTGTGGTCGGTGTGAGCTGGGGGTGAAATTCTTATCAACAGGCTATCGGTGGGATTCGAACTCGGTTCATCTCATTGGGCAAACGCTCTATTACTTGAGCCACCACGGCTCCCCCAGAGGTATTGATTCGTTTTGGGAACTCGGAGGACTTTGTGACCCAACAAATGTGATCGGTGTGAGCCGGGTGCAGAATTCGTATTATCCAGTTACCACTGGTATTAGAACCTGGGAGGCAAATGTTTTATCCCCTAAGCCACCGAGGCTCACTGTGAAAGATTTTATTTCACTTTAACCGTCTTTGAACAGCTGACCCAATTTTAGGGTTTACGACTACCAGTGTTCAACTCCGTAGCTTTGTAATTTTGAACCCAATCCAGAAGATAAGGGAACTCCAAGATCAAGTATTGGGAGAAATTTTGCTTTCGTGGAAGACTTTTTGATGGAACTAACCCGCATTTGCGCTATATGGAAAGGAAAACCACGAAAACTTCCTAATGCTAGCCTGACGGAAAGGGGACTCTAACCCATGATCCGTCTACCACTGAAGATATTTTACGTCATCATCGTGGTCGGTGCGAGCCGGGTTCAGAATTCGTATCGACCAGCCATCGTTGAGATTCGAACCTGGTTCAAGTAGCGAATTGAAGCTCACCCAGCTTCAGATCAGGTCAATGGGTACCAACTTGTCTGAGAAGTAAGTGCGGCCAGCGCGTGATACTGACCCCATTGCAACAATCAAGCCATTGGTCATTAAATTGTGGGGCCTTATTTTTGCTTTACTTTTTAAATGCATGTTATACAGGTTTTAAAATGTCACGAAAGTTATGATTTTGATTGAATTATTAAAAAGTATTCGATATTACATTAAAATATTCGATATCCCAAAACTTTCAGTGTCTTCTTTAGAGTTCGTGATATTGAGCATGGGCTGTATATGATTTAGGTTTGAAATATTTTGTGATTAATTAAAAGGAAAAAAAATAATACACTCGAAGTTTTTTGAATGGTCAACAAATTACGCGACGGTAGACATTTTAACTCCATAACCATTTAAAAAATGTGAATGAACGCCGGTCTACCTATTCACCTCATGTATGAAACTATTTAATCATTACGTCATTTAGGATTAAAATAAGCTTCTAATATAAATTCTTTTTCTTTTTAGGAATGGATTCTCATCAAAAACCCGGAATTTCCTGGACTTGGTTCGGGTCTTAAAAAAGATTGTTCCGCTACTGACTGTATACGAGGCAGTGACTTCATCATTCCATTGTGTGTCTGACACCGGTTACGGTTCAAGTGAATATTTCACCATGTAGCAGTTTTCATCCAGAAATCATGACTGTTTGTACATTGAAGATGTTGTTCTCTTAGTTTGTCTATTAAATATAATTTTTTATGTTCTCAAAATTCTTCTTTTTCTTTTCTTGCTGTTATTTCCAATCACACTAGTAAATCGTAAATGATAAAAAACCGTAAATGACGATAAAAATGATGAAAAAGAAAAAAATCAAATAGATTTTACAAAATAATATAAATTTGAAGTTAATAATTGCAAAATATCTAAAAATTTTAGTCACAAGGAGATGTATATTCAATGTTTTTCATATTCAAAGAAATACAAAAACTATTTTGCACTATAACTACAAATTTAAACGGATAGCAATATTTTTATTAATTTTGAATAGTAATTTATAATGATTTTAAATAGTTAAAACACATTGCTAATTAATAATAATTACTAAATTAAAGTAATTAACTTAATAATGCAGAATAAAAAAAAGAAAAAAAAACTGAAAATTCTAAAGTATTTTATCTATTAGTACCCAAGAAAAAAAACTGGGTAGAATGTGCACAATAAAAAACTATTCAATCGATTCCGTTAAAGATTTGCTATTTAAAATTACTTTGCATAATAGGGGTCATTTTAATACTATTAATAATATTTTTTCACTTAGGAAATAAATAAATATGTAAGAATTATTTTCACATGAAATCTTTGTTGTTAAGTCAATTTTATAAACTCGATGAATAAATGAAGGCAAAAAATTTCCGCTATGTTCTTGCAGAATCATGATCAAAAAATTGACATGCGGTATCTACTTTCATCTGATAAAAACATCATGCAGTACTAAACTTTCGACTCAACTTATTGAATCCGACTCAACTTATTGATTTCGACTCAACTTATTGAAAGGTACTTTTATATACCGTATTTCCATAATTATCAGATTTAGAAATTCAAGAAATTTAATCCGAGCGAAGAAAGGCTATTTTACTTATTATTATTTTTTTCTTTTTAAGGAAGAACATTTTAGTGTTGAGTTTCTTAAAATATTATTGCTTTCTTCTTCTTCTTTCAAATCCCCATTTCTAGCCTAGCTAGACAAAGTTCATGAGATTGTACACCTTCAAAAAGTCTAAAACAAGTAAGGGTCTTTCAATTAGGTCTTGTTTTAAAAGACCGAGGCAGTCCAGTAGATGTTCAGGGGATGCCTCGGCCGAAGAGCACTTGGTACAATACGTCATTATTGCTTTATTACATATTAGTACATTTTTGGCGTAGTTCTCAAACCATTTTGATTGACTACCAGAAGGTAACTCTCCCAAAAAGATGTTCTGCAGAGCCTTAGGGTTAGTGGAAGGCAGAGCCGTTTTTAAGGATGGGCCAAGTGGGCCCTGGCCCAGGGCCCCGAGTTCTAATAGGGCCCCCAAAAGTCTAAAATCACATTGAATTAATTGTTTTTTTTTTAATAACTCATTTATTATTTATAACTTAAGAGGGCCCCCAAACCCCACTTTTTTCTTCTTTTTTTAAAGTTTTATTCAGAGCTGAGGCCCTCTGAAGCCCATATTATACATATTTTTTTCTTTCTTACATTGTCGGATTCTTTTAAAAATTTAATCGAAGTGTTTTCAAATATAAAATAATTGTTACTCTTCACTTTTCTAACTAAAAGAGCAATAAAAAGCTCTTTCCACTAATGAAAATATCCCCACTTTCGTAGCTACCACCCACAGAGTTGTCAAATAGCCTTCTCACCTTACACTGTGAGAAAATGTATTTAGCTTCTTTATATTGCCTCGGGGCTCTTTTTTTCTAATTTCGAAAATATCAGATATCCACAGAAACACCCTTTTGTCTGATTTCTGCTCATAAATTTCTAGGAAGAAAAATCTCTTGGGCTGTAAATAGGGGGAGAGTCTTCTTAGAATTCCTTTGGGTCACTCTGTCTTGGGATTTTCATAGTGCCTTTAAATTGGACCTCGTTCGATTCTAAAGTTTCTTTCATAGAAAATTGTTTTCTAATTTATTATAAAAGCTTTTTTTCTTTTAATCATCTTAAATATTTCAACTAGCCTAATAGTTTTATTTACTTAATTTTTGTAGTTGATTTTATTTTGTTATTTTTCAAATTAATCGTATGAGAATGCGTGAATTGGAAATTCTACATCAAATTTTCGTTGGATATTAAGAAGACATAAATCTTTCACGTTGGAGGTAAGCAAATGTTTTTATTATACCAATTTTGGTTGTGGTTAGGGAAAACGTGAAAGATTTGTGCAGTTCTTTATATATACATTGTGAATTTTTTTTGTTTATTTATTTAAATGGCGGGCCACTATTCAATTCCTTCTTTGAAGGCCTATCTGCCAAAATTCTTGATTTAGTCTGTTCTGGATGAAATTGAGATGACAAATGTAATTTTATTTTAATTTACTTACTGCTAATAGACAGAAACAACATAGGATTTTGTTTAATGGGGCATTGAAATCAAATGATCATCAGATAAACAAATGTTTAAACACGAGAAAAAAACTTTTTAANTCATTATCAATCTTAAATAAGGTTTTATATCCGACAGTTAAATTTGCAGTCCTTGTGTTATATACAGTCTAGTTTTGAATTTATTTTTGGTGCATATACATGAGCTGAAAATGAATAAGATAAGCCGAATTATGGTTTACTTCGAAATGAACTGAAGATACTTGTTATAAACGCTAAAAATTTTAATTTTGAAAGCATTTTTCCAGAATGTCAGGTATTCAAATGACTTAATTTATTAAATTAAAAAAAAAATATTAAAAAAATATCCGCAAGGCAGGTGTGTATATTTGGAGCTGTTGATTATGAAATCTAACACAAAACTGTGAGATCGTGAGTTCTATTCCATCTGATGACAGTCTTTAATTACTATTTATTAATACTGAAAAATGTTTTTCTTATTTTTTTTAAGTATGCATGTTCAAAACTAATAATTTAACAATTATTTAAAAAACTAGAAGGCTCCGCTTCCTGTTCATTTTGCTCATTAACCCTCGTGGTTGCTTCTGCATTTATTGCAGAATAAGAGGAAAAACAGTTTATTTCCATTTCTTTTTTACAAAAATTATGATTGAATTACCATTTACATTTTGAAGATGACTAAATTTTGGCAAATCAATAAAATTGGTACCAGTTAATAAAATTAGAAAATTGGCACCTGCCGCAGAGTTATTACTCAATGAAGATGAACTCAAGGAATAGAGCATTCTCCTCTGAATGAGGTGCACCGAGTTCGAATCCCAGTGATGGCTGGTCGATATGAATTTCACACCCAACTTTTACCGACCACAGTATCGACGTGAAATATCCTCTGTGGTAGGCGGATCATAGGTTAGAGTCCCTTTGCCGTCAGGCTAACCGTGGAAGGCAGTCGTGTTCTTCCTCTCTATGTACCGTAAATGCGGATTAATTCCATCAAAACGTCCTCCATGAAGGCAAAAATTTCTTCCAATACTTGATCCTGGAGTTCTCTTGTATGATGGATTGGGTTCAAAATTACAAGGCTACGGAGCTGAACATTAGTAGTCGTAAACTCGAAATTGGGTGAGCTGTTCAATGACTGTTGTGAAATAAACTAATAACTTGGCCACGATAGCTTGGTTGGTAGGGCTATGGACTCCTGCTCTTGAGAATGTAAGTTCGAATTCAGCCGACCGAATAATACCCATGTATAAAATGGTGACTGGTGCATGTTAAATCTGTCGGGGTCATAAAGTCCTCCAAGTTCTTATGACAACTCAATACCTCTGGGAACTGATTCAGGAGTTGCCTTGTCTTCTGGATTGGTTTTAAAATTTCAAGGCAACGTAGTTAAACATTGGCTCAAAATTGAGTAAGTTTTTCAACGATTATAAAAAACGATTATAATCAAACTGTATTTTCTTGTATTCTTTCTAACTCCTAGCATATTTTCTACACGCCTTCATAATTTGATGTTCTTAAGTCTTACAGATTTTGAGTTGCAAAGGAAATTGTATGTCTTACAGGAAATTGATTTTGATGATGTGATAGAAGATTCGCCTCTCAAAAAGCGCGAAAAGTATTGTTACCTTAAATTTTCAATAAAAATAATGTAGATAAGTTTTTGTAATTAATTTATATTTTTTTTACTCTTTAAATAAAATAATTTTTAAAAATTATTCAAAACTAAATTTTTTTCTCTAAATTTATTCATAAAGGGCCCCCAGATAATGACAGGCCCAGGGCCCCTATAAACATAAAAACGGCTCTGAATCAAACAAAAGTCCATAATATTTATTCTTTTGATATCGTTTATTAGTTGATTTCGAACTGTAGATGCCAGAAGATGAATGAATTCATTTTGGATCTGTGTTGACAAATATGTGACAGTTTTTGGAGTTTCTGTGGCATGTTAAAGATGATTTGCTAGTAGCGAATCAAACTGAGCTACAAGTTTAAGTAAAGATAATAGGTTTCCAACTTTTGTACCAACTTGAAGTGCTAGTTTTTTAACATGGCTTCATTATTTGTTTTATTACTTACCAAGAATGCCTTGAATGCACGAAATAACTTAAACGTTAATATTTCGAGTATTTCCCTAATTTGTTGCAGACTTCCACAACCTGTCGTAAGTATCAAAGATACGTACAGTCATGAAAAAAAGTATCCGGAAGGTAACAAATAAGGAATCATTTATTTTTTTAATATAGATATTTCTCAGGCACACAACAAATACGGCGTTTGCGTCCTTTCCTAGAAACGGCAAAACGCTGTATTTGTAGTGTGCCTCCTTTCGATCCTTTAGTTGTTATTTTCCGGCTACTTTTTTCCGTGTACATATAAGTACATTAGAGTGTTATTGTTATCGTTTTNCGTAAGATGGTGCACAGCTTGCAACACGAACAAACAGTAATAAACAAATGGAAAGAGGCCAAATCAAGACTGCCAAAAAAGCGAGTTATTCAAAATCTAGCAGCCATGTCACCTTTTTTAATAATAAATAACAAAATAACTAAAACAAATTTTCACTCCAAACTCCCCTGAATTACATAATAACATTAATATCTTATGAAAGACGGCAGATTTCTAATTATCTAACTTATTTCTTTTATTTGAAAACAAA